TAGGAAAAATTAGTTAATTAGTTACGGTTTTTGTTGATCTAACTATTTGACTTTAGATTTGCTAAACTAACTAATTAAACTTTAGCAATCCTCTAGAATGCCTTTTAAAATCAACAACGGATACTTTGTTAATTATTAATGCATAATTATTAACGCATGCTTTTAACTCTAAATAGACAACTTAAAATTAACTGCATTCAATTTATTGATTACATTACTCTATGTGATAATAAAGAGCATGATGAAAACTTGAATAAATTTAGAATAAATTTAGTCAGGAAAAGTATATACTTTCAACTGTCACATTAGTTTTTTTGGGTTACTGTATATCATGTCTGATCAAAACCTGATCCTCAGCAACCTCTACCTCCACCTGATAATGATAAGCCTCTGCAACAGAATATTGGAATTTTTTCATTTTTCGTAAAATGGATCAAAAAATATTTATATAAACATCAACCATGGCCTAACTACACCGCCTGATTTATTGCATTTTCTATAAAAATCTGATAGGCCAGTTTTCCTAGAGGCTCACATTTAAAATCTTAACTTCTTGTTAAGACCCAGATAAAAGTATTATTCGGTATCCGATATCTGGCCAGAAAATAACTTTATCTGTTTTTTTATATATCACATTTTTCATACTAATGTCATTAGAAAATTGAAAGAAATCTAGAAGTGTTATATTTTTAAATAATCTAATGTTAATGGTTTCTATTCAATTTTGTTATTATTATCATTAAAATACTACTAAAACAATATATGTCAGTTTATCATTTATATTTATTTAATACGTTCACGCCGGCGTGTACCACCGGTGGTACACACTAGATTGTCTTATTGGGCGGCGTGTACCACTGGTGGTACACACTAGACTGTCTCATTGGGCGGCGTGTACCACCGGTGATACACGCCCCCAATGAGACAGTCTAGTGTGTACCACCAGTGGTACACGCTGCCCATTGAGACAGTCTAGTGTGTACCACCGGTGTTACACGCCGGCGTGAATGTATTAACCTCAGCATGGAGAAATTAAGATTTCTAACCTTGATTGTTTTTCTCACGAATAATAAAAAATGTTTTTATTGCAATTAAAACGCAACAGGGTGTGTTTTTGAGTCAATAGCTCGTAATAAAGTTTGAGCAGCCAAATAGAAATTAAAAAGCAGCCCAATATTAAAGTGGTAAATAATTTGGTGAAGATTAAGAAAGTAATCTTTACAATAAAATTGTTTTAGGTTTTCAAGTTTATAAGGCTTCAAAAATATATTTCTTACGTTGTGAAATTCTCATCTAAAGTTTTTAAAACAGGTTTATGCTTGAAAAAAGAAATTTATAAGTGTATTACCTCATTGCACTAATCTAAATTTAAAACAAGAGCTTTGTTACTTATATTTATTCAAACAATATTTTCATAGCTCTATAAAGCTTATACTGGAGATGGAAAACTCATCATACAGTTTATAAAGGAGTATTAAAATCATACTTATTATTTCATATACTCCGTTTTAAAAAAATCTAATAGTACAACTTGTGGAATGCAAAAAAATGTTGAAGTTACTGCTGGTTAAATTCCAGGGAATTTATTTTATAAATTTTCTGAAAAAGATCAATAACTAAACAGGAACTAAAAAAAAAAATCAATTATCAGGTACCTTATCTCGAAAACAAAAATGTTGTTAAATTTGCAATATGTGATAAAATAACTGCAGCTGCAATGTTATAGGTTTATTATGGAAGTTTTTTTCCTTAAAAAAATAATGCAGCACAATTTGCATCTTTGTTTTATAAGATATTTATCACACTTAAGTCAAAGCATAAACTCAGTACATCTAATCAACTCAGCAACACTTCTGTAAAAGACGATAAGAAGGCTGAAATACTTTAGAGATAACACTTTACATAAAAGTATACTTTATAGAAATAGCAAGAAAAATACAAAAACATTAAGCAAAAAAACTTCTTATGCTTTAATTATAAGAAACATCTCTTACGAATGTTTTGCTTGAAGAAGACTATACATTTGTTCATACTTCTAATTTAAAAAGTGATCTTTTAGAGCTATGCTTTAGTAAATATAGATAACTAAGTGGTGGTAGATTTTGATAATAATAGATTTTTTGATAATAATAGATAATAATAGATTAATAATAGATTTTGTAAGAAAATATTCAATCAGATACTTGATAATTTTTATTTTAGAATATTATGCACGATATTGTTTTGTTGTCTGAAGGTAGCATAAAAATTACTGGCACTATAGCAAGTTGCATTAGTAAAAAAGTAAAAAAAACGATTTGGATATTAAACTTGTGATCAAAAAACAATACTGCTAATAATGAATACCTGAAACTTTTTTACAAAAGAGAACCTATATGATCAAATCAAAGTCTGTCTGATTTTATTTGTTGACCTTTAGACAGTCATAGCAACATTTAAGGTTACTTTTAGTAGCATGTTGATATACAGCCTTATATCAATATTCTGCGTTATTGGAATAAACAGAATTTATATTATAACCATTTTAATAAAATCATTTATAGTGCTAACAATAATCATAACAAAAAACTTAGCCTTTTTGTTTTTTATGGAAAAAAGTAACAAATCAAGCCGTGATATTTAAGTAGGCTAAGAATCTAAATTTTAAATTGTGTTACTTAATGTTCAATTTTTGTAAATTGAGTAAAATTCAAAGTTTACTCAATTAACAAAAAATATCATCATGAGCTTGTTCACGATGATATTTGTCCTTATGAGCTCGTTCAATCTGTAATACAAACTATTAATGTAAATATTCATTTTTTGTAGAAACTGATGCTCTGCAATTGTCAGGGCAATGTAAAAGTGTTCCAGATACATTTCCTTGAGTTCGGTGAGCATCATTGTAGAATAATGGGTGATTTATAATTCTATTTGGAATTTATTAGACAAATCTAAACTTAATTCATCATTCATATTACTTATTTGTGGTTTTATGTGTAGGCAAATATGTTTAACATTTAATGCAGCTGAACAAAAATCTTTTAACAAGCAACTCAAAATATTTTTTGTTAACAAATCAAATTAAAAAAAAGGAAAACTGTTAATCATTTCGAAAAAGAAGAGTTTGCTCAAAGTAAAACATATTATAACTTATTAAAAAGACTTAAATCTGCTCAATTTTTTTTGATACAAAGTATTATATTTTTGATATAAAGTATTATATTTTTGATATAAAGTATTATATTTTTGATATAAAGTTTTATATTTTTGATACAAAGTATTATATTTTTGATACAAAGTATTATATTTTTGATACAAAGTATTATATTTTTGATATAAAGTATTATATTCTTGATATAAAGTATTATATTCTTGATATAAAGTATTATATTTTTGATACAAAGTATTATATTTTTGATATAAAGTATTATATTTTTGATACAAAGTATTATATTTTTGATATAAAGTATTATATTCTTGATATAAAGTATTATATTCTTGATATAAAGTATTATATTTTTGATACAAAGTATTATATTTTTGATATAAAGTATTATATTTTTGATACAAAGTATTATATTTTTGATATAAAGTATTATATTTTTGATATAAAGTATTATATTTTTGATATAAAGTATTATGTTTTTGATATAAAGTATTATATTTTTGATACAAAGTATTATATTTTTGATATAAAGTATTATATTTTTGATATAAAGTATTATATTTTTGATATAAAGTATTATGTTTTTGATATAAAGTATTATATTTTTGATACAAAGTATTATATTTTTGATACAAAGTATTATATTTTTGATACAAAGGTTGTCTAAAATCCTGTCCTGGAAAAAAAAAAAAAATAAAGGAGAATTTCCAAAAATTGAAAAAGAGAAAAATAAGTCTTAATTTCTGTATAAGTCAATTGCCAATTGGCTATCAGTAAAAAAAAAGAATACTAATATAGAAAACATGAAAAGACTCCAAAATACACTATTAAACAACAATTAAACCAAAAAATAAGCAGGAAATTTTATAACCAGCTCTATAACACACACCAGTTTCCATATTACACAAACAATAAAAATGCATGTCACGAATGTGTTCGCTATGTAGGAAAAGATAAATTTACAAAAAAAATGTTAATGTAGATAACGTAGTAAAGAATCTAAACTTAAATCTAATTTTTAAAGTTTTCAATTGGTTTTGCCTCAAGCAAAACCAATTGAAAACTTTCGGAGACATTTGCCACTGAAAGTTTTTAAGAGAGATTAGGAAAATTCAAAGAAGATGTTTTGATTCGTTAAATACTGTCTATGAAAAATAGTAAAAAATTTTTACAATTGCTTATAAAAGGTCTCAAAGCAGATCAATTGCAGAATTAATTGCAGATGTTGGTTTTTTTTAATATAAAAAATAACTGATTTTTACTAACTTTTGAACTATAGAATTAAAAGGGCCATAACTTTCTTTAACTTTTGAATAAATTATGTTAACTGTTTCTGATAAGTTGCTGTGTTTCCTTTTGCCTTTTCTGTTCAATATGACAACTCAGAAAGTGATTAACTGTTTAGCTGATTTATTTGTAGTCCACACAAACACCATTTCAGCATTCAATAAAAATCAGGTTCTTCAAATTCTTTATGGCTAATAAACCCAGGACAGGTATTTATGTAGAAAAATGTGCTCCAAAGGTTATAGAAGCTAATTATCAATAGGTTCCCTAATGGTCAAGAAACTACAGTTTCTACTAAACATTTTGCTTCTATTGGATTAAGGGATGAAATTTAACCACTCATATCAATAGCATTGAAACAATGCATATTATAGAGAAAAAAGTTAGATATGGTGGAGGTTTTGGAAAAATTGCAGGTTTAGTGTTTCATTGTTTTTACATGTAAATTAATAAACATTTTGCTCAAGACAAAAAATTAATTTAAATTGCAGTTCATGTAGATGAACTCTACCACGCTTGTTTAATTAATAGTAAAAATGTAAAATGAAATGTTAAACACACTCACCAAGTTGAACATTGGTTTGTTCATAACTCATTATAAAAAACTTTCCAGTTCAGCAGATTTTTGAAGCAGCGACATAAAACTAAAGTAAATAAGTTTTTTTTTTTTAATAAGCAATAATTGAAATTTAATAAATAGAGATGAATCTAAAAAGTTACAAAAAAAAATACATTGCAAATAAAAATATTTTATATATCTATTTGTATAACTTAATATCTTTATGTCTTGTTGTTATTCTGACAATTCCACATACAACAATTTCATTTATATAGCTTTTAAAACTTAAAACTTTTCCTAAGTTAGAAAAGAAAACAACATTTTTATAATTATAGTTTAAATAAAATAATAACTGCATGTAAACAAAAAAAAATAAAATTGCATTTCTCATTACTCATATGATAACAAAAGGGAAATAATTGTTAAAACTTATGAGAAAAAATCCCCTTAACAATGAAGAAATTTTTAGTCATTTTATGATGTATATAGTTTAATGACATTTAATTTTTTTCTTCAGTAGGAGGAGCCCACCTCCTCTCTTTATTTAAGAGTCGTGGTAAAATAAGTTTAATACTAGTTAATAGTGTTAATTTTATTTGATGACTATCATAGCAGTAATATTAGGCTTGGTCAGAAATTGTGCGCAAATTTCCTGACCACAAATGTATTATTTTCTGTCAACAATTTGATCATGGAAAACATTTTAAAAAACCAAAATAAAAACATGACAAACATAAAAACCTTGACAGAAAAAAGGCAATTACAAACAAAAAAACTTTAATATAGAAATTAAATAAAAATCAGAAAAAAAAATTAAACAATAAAAATTAAATAATCCAAGGTAAAAAAAACTAAAAACTGAACTAGTAAATTATAATCAATTTCGTTAACGATTAAATTAATTCAAACCTTTAATAATGTATTAATAAATTTAAAAAACACTCCTTAAAAAATAAAATAACAACCCACTTTTAATGATAGTTGAAAAAGAAAGTAAATTTTATTTAATTTATCAAAGAAATATTTATAATTTATTGGATTTATGTTTTATTTCAACAAGATTCTAATAAAACAAAATCTAGTTGAATAAACGAAAAAGTGAAAATATATTTTAAAAAACTTTTTATATTAAAGTAAGCAAAAGTAAAAAACAATCATTTAGTTACAATGAAAATAATAAAATCTTCTTTTCTTTAAGCAATGTTTTTAAAATGTTAAAAACATTTTATCAATATCTGGCAGAACACTGAATCAGAGATCTGTAATGATCATTATCTACTCCTAAAGCTAAGAATACATTAAAAAAATTTATAACTCACTTTTTTTATGTCTATTGGTTTATTATAATAAAGCATATATTATAAATTAATATAAAAGCGGTATATTACATTCTATGAAAATTAAATTATTATTTTTTTATTTTGTAAAAAAACAACTTATAGCTGGATCAGGTTAATTAAAAGCAAACTTTTATGGTTAAACTAAAGAAGTAAAAATAGTTTATAAAAAGGAGGCGGCTACACAATACAATTGATAATTTTAGAGTGTTTTTTTTTTAATATTGGTTCTGTCCCTGATAACCTCTGCAGCCATTCATTCATAAAAATTGTTTTTATGAATAGAAGCAGAGGTTAAGAACTGCACTTATCATAAAAGTTACAAACTTTTAAATTAAAAAAAAGATACATATATTAAAAAATACATATATTGCTTGGAGCGAGCATTTGAGCTTGAAAAGGATCTTACTTCTACAGCATGGAGCTCTTAGTGGCTGGTGAACTCAGATAAAACTCAATTTTCACTTCTCATCTCTGCTAATTTTTATTTTAATAATCTAGATCATCCTGTATTTATGAACAGTAATGTACTTAATGAGTCATTTACCCTTCATCTTCTATTAATAATTATTACTTGATAATTTCTGGAAACCTTATATCAAAATGAGCATCTCAAATCTCAAATCCATCCAAGTATGGAAAACTGTTGCCATATCTAGGATGGGTCTTCCAATGATGCTCTTTCTCTTTTAGGCAAGTTGTAAAAACACATTGTAAACATAGTTGGATCTGCTCCTGTAGCCAACCTCCAACCATTGTTACATTGTCATATGTTGCTTCTCTTTCTCTTTCGTATAAATACTATAATGGGCACTACTCTAAAGGTCTAGCGTCTCCTATGCTATCTTGGTCATTCAATTAAGTCTTTTTACTGAAACTGTTCCAAAAATTCTTAATCAAATAGTTTCATTCCTCGATTTTTTAAAGCCTAGAATTCTGAATCTGGAGTATTGCGGATGTTTATAGAAACCTGTGAAAATTTCTAGAATTTTCTAGAAATTTTAGTCTGGCAATTTATAGAAATTAGCAAGATTAAAACTAAATAAGCTTCCCGGTTGATTAATGCTAATAATTAAATATAAATCTGTATTTGCCATATAGCAGTCAAATAATACAGAAGCACAAAATTAATAAAATCTTCAAAGTTATCAACCATAAAAAAAAAAACTTACAGATTTTGACTAGTTTTAACAATTCTCTAGAAAAAACATCAGCAACAAGTAAATTGGATTGTAGTGTTAATATGATTTTCTTTCATGTTATAATTTCTTTTTTTTTTGTTTTCATTTTAGATATATCTTACAATGCTTTTTCAGCATATTGTAAAAAAATTAGAGGGCCCACTTTTTAAAGCCCATATTTTATAATGCTCATAAAATATGGGCTTAAATTTAAGACAAAAGCTCTCTCTCAGTTCCCCCTACCCTACTTTTTTTTTTTTTTTTTTTTTTCTTTTTTAAAATAGAGTTTTAGATTTTTAAATAGTATTAAAAGATGATATTATAGCATGCCAAAAAAAGGTTGAAGTGCTTCAAATCCTTTCGTTTACACACTTAATTTTTAATTTTTTTATTTTCTAGAAGTAAAACATTTTTAAAAGCCTATAAATATTATATGCTAACATATACAGATATATATACTATAGCAAAGGAAAGGGAGAGAGTTTTTTAAAAAGCTTTTGAAAATTTCTAAAAAATATGAAAACACGGTGAGTAATTTGTGTGGATGTCTTGATAGAGACTCCCAAGTTATCAATGTGCTTAGTAATTAGTTAAGACTACGCATTAAAGACACAACTTTCTTTCTTATAGAAAAAATTGTGTCTCTTATTTTTGTTTGATCTCTTTGCAACTTATCTTGAGTAACTCCAAATGGTTTTAATATTTTCAAAATAAATTAGTTTGGTTAAAATTGATATTTTTTTTGATTGGCTTAAACTATTTGGTTTAAACCAAATAGTTTAAGCCAATCAAAAACCTGCAACACACATTTCTATATTATAACTTTAATTTGAAAGTTTATATAATTAGAATTCTTTAGCTAAATCTAATGACTTAAGTTTTTATAGCAAAGATAATTAAATAATGATGCATAAAAGTTATATCCAATAAAATAAAATAAATCAAAATATAAAAAAAAACAATACCTTATAATTTATTAAACTTTGGAGGAGGCCTGGATCTAGCCTGCTAAACAAATATATAGGTAACACCAGTTACAACAGTAATTGACACCAGTTAATTGTAACAGTAATTAACACCAGTTAATTACTATGTAACTGGTATTTAACACCAGTTAATTACAACAGTATTTAACACCAGTTAATTACTGTTGCAACTGTTACAACAAGTTAACACCAGTTACAACAGTAATTAACAGTAATTAACACCAGTTACAACAGTAACTAAAAAAAAAAACAGCATCAAACAAGTTTTTTTCTGATCAAACTTTTGAAGAAATTGCAGTTTTTGCTGATAATGTTTACTAGATAATCAATTCCAGTAAGTATTAACTTTAGCATTAACTTGTGAAAAAAAATTGAACTTCACTCATAAATTTCTATGACTTCTGTATGTAATTGATTAAGCCTATTTTGTAATTTTTTGCATAAGTTTTAAACTTTTTTTTAGCACGCTAATTTATGGCAACTACATACTTTACAAATTTGTATATAAAATCAAATCATCAAGGTTACAACTATTGTCCAATGCCATTAATCTTTCTAGTATTTTAATGTATGTTAATGACTCAGATAAGGTAAAAGGTGTTAAACTCATTTATAAAATTTGGTGTGACAAGCCTAATAAAACAACTATATCCAAAAAGAATAATTTGTCCTACTGCATACTTAAACCACATTTAAGTATGCAGTAGGTTAGTAGTAGTATCATTTTAAGTTAAAAAAGAGTTTGCAGGTATGAGAACCTGCAAACTCTTTTTTAATAATCTCATGTTATATCATTCTTACAATTGTATCATGATTGAAGTTTAATGAAGACCTTTGAGCTATTCTACTTGTGATACTGATAAAGTTAAACAAAAAACCACACACTGTTTTCAATTTAACAAAAGTAGTTTTAATTAACACATAATACTTGTGTTTAAATAATAGGACTTTAGTTAGATAAACATTTGTTTGTGTGGAACAGTGCTGAATGTTAAATGCATGTTACGAGAAGATTAGAAAAAAGAGTTTATTTGAGTTAAACCATGTTGATACTTTTCAAGTTTTTAAATAAATAAAACCAGAAATCACTAAGGTAAACTGCAATATGCCATAAGGTGATTAAATGACAGAAACTTTTGACTTAGTAATATAAAACATTTTGAATAAAACTTTTTTTTTATATTCTAACATATATTATTGGTGATTTTTGAATATTAAGATCAAATAAAACATTAACTTTTTTAACAATCTATTTAAAAGTCAAATTCAGCAATAAGCCTTAAACCTTAGACATGTAAGTATAAAGTTTAAGGCTTATATATATATGTGAATAATTAGGTAAAAGAGAGTAACAAAATCAGGGCATTATTATCAATTTAAACTTTTCAAAAACTGTATTTTATTTTACAAAAATTTATTTTTTATCACTAACTTATTTCTAAATGATTTATAATTAATAATTAAAACTACATATTTTTTAAGTATAAAGTTTATATACAAAGTAAAAAATAAAACTGTGGATGTCAGTTCATATTTGACATTGTATAAATAGTCAAATGCACTTTCTTACAAAAAGAAACATTAACAGATAACAAGTTATCAAACAGAAAGTTGACAATTGTAAGAAGTCTTGCTGAAAATAAACATTTTTAATATACTTGTTCTTACTGCCTTCCTTTGTGAATATTTAATGATTTATTTATTTGTATTTTTCAACTAGGCTTGACACTATATAAAACTTTTGTTTTAAGGAAAAAAGTGTTTAATATAATACAATAAAATATCTGTCACTTGAAAAAAACAATCTTAAATTTTAGATTATTAGTTTATTTTAACAGGAAAAACTGAAAGTAAATGAAAAAGTGGCCTTAAAGCCCTTCTTTACTTTATGTATATTTATATTAAGGTTTATTTGTAATATTTCAACATTATTTAGGGTATATAGAGTTATAATTTCTGTTATAAAAATGGTTTGTTTTATTTTAATGTTATAATAATATTATCAACAAGTAAATAAATTTAAATATTTAAACTGTTTATATAAAACTTACAACTATCCAAAATTCACAATGTTTCTATATTAAAAGCAAGCACACTTGTTAACCCATCTTTCATTTGATGCCAAATGGAAAAGATAAAATCTTAAAGGAGAGGTCTATTACACAATCACAATTATTATTAGATGTTTAAACAATACCACACACCCATTTATTGTGAGCCTTCTCATGTTACTTCTCATGTTACACTTCTTCTGCGATTTATGTTGGAAAATCTCATTGTAAATTCCGGGTAAATTCAAGAAACTTATTAGGAAATTATCACTTTTTGGCTCTGGATATTGCAACCCAAATAAAATCATATGTACAGAATTTGCATTTTCTGGCGTTAATACGAAAGATGTGTTAATTTTTGAAGAAAGGAGGCTAGAAACAAGTTTTTGAGTGTTATTAAATACCTCCATTCTTCAAAAAAGTTTTCTATTCGAAATGTCTCATATTATTGCAACTGAATACGAGTTTTGTATGTATAATTTTATTTATGCTACAATGTTAGTATATGTAACCGCGGCTTGACACAGATGTAAGAAAAAAACAATTAAATATAACGTAGTTTTAGGATTGAGGATTTTGAAAAAACTTAATTTTAGTTCAAATTAAATTTTTACTGTAGCGTTATAATTAATAAAAAGTTTAGAGTAGGAAATAAATTTCTTTTTATTCAGACATTTTATTTAACTTTGTATTTTTAATAAAAGAAGTTTTTTTGTAGCCTAAGTCTTCTTGTCTGACTTCCCAAACTCCACACATTTAAGTTACATGTAATATCGTTTACAATAAGGGTTACGTTTTGCCGTAAAATTTTACGGTAAAAACGGCAAATGCAAGATACTACTCATATTTAGAGGTTTTAAGTTGAAGTTATTTTTACTTCAGATTTTTTTTAACCACTCTTTCAAGTAGGTTAACATGAAATGAAACCGTTGAAAACGAAATAAAAACTGCATCTTTTTTAATTTTTTTGCCATTTTTCTAAATACTTAAAACCTTCAAAAAATAAGGGGGTCCTACACTTTATGGCTGTATCTTTTGAGCGTCAAAATAAATTTTGATAAAATTTGACACCTAATTTTAATTTATAATGGGATTCAAGAATTTTTTTTTTTCTAAAAAAATTACTTTCCCTTAACCAAGGGGAAGCAAGGGGCGTTTTTCAAAGGTATTCCTGCCCTTGCAATCTGAACGCCGTAATTTTTAGCAGAGAAATATTATTTTAATGAATATTAGCAAAATAATAGTTGCAATTATCTTCTTGTCAAAAATCTATTAGAAATGTAACAAATTTTCTACACACAAAACATGAATAAATCTCCGATAACAAGTTAAAACAAATGAAATGCCACAAACAGTATTTTACTAATTATATATTACAAAAAAGATTTATTTTTTCAATTTAAATATATACTTAAAAAATCTTCTTATAATCTAGTTGAACCATATTCAACAACCATAGCTCTAAGTTTTTCACCGTTTTTTTAGACGCAATGAACTTTTTCAGTGTCTTGTTTAAGTTTTTATGCACAGGTTTGTTCTGATGTAATATCGATGCGGGATTTTCTGCCTATCGAGATATTCCTTGAGATGGAACCTGATTATATGAAACTTTCATCAAAGTTAAATCTTCATTGCGAATACATCATAGACATACACTTTTAAGTGAAACATGGACTCCACAAACTTGTCTATTTTTTCTTTGTAGGATAAACCGAGTTTCGTTCTAAAACAATATTTAGCTACTAAATCAAACAAAAGTTAACCAAATATTAACTTGCTGAAAATAATAGCATTAATATACCGCGTCTACTATTTTTATGTACACTGGTCCCCTACCTGTATTAATTAAATTAAAAACGTTCTAAGAAGTGTTAAAACAAAATTAAAAGGCAATGAAGTTCCTTCTTTAAACCTCCTCAGGGTTTCAATACATTCTAGATAATCGATTGGAGAATGAAGAATCATTTTGTTCTATTATTTTAAAACTTTAGCACAGTTAGGTCCATCAAAACCACCACCATTATAGCCATGCCAGATAACCGTTTTTTTTTTGTTCAAGAAATTCCTTCTGATTTTCATCAGTAAAGAGGAGATCAATAATTTTACTAACATGGTGTTCATAAATATGATATTCAGGTGGTGGAATTATTTTGATAATTTTCTCAGTCAATTTCTTATCCTACAGACAAGAATTTGTAACATTTTTATAATATTGCATCTGTATTCGAGGTTTGCTATCAAATTGGTATATTTTTCGAATTCATCTGTTTGTGATCCCAAAGACCTTTGAATTCCTTTTTCATCTATCGGCCCATCACAATAGCAACACGAGTATTTCCCACCGAGACTCTTTATTATAGAAAATAAGTTAAAGGTATTGCTTATCTAAAATATAAAACATAAATGAATTAAGGTACTTATTAATAATCCAATGATGATGTTAATCAATTTGAGGTCAGAAGATAAGTTAAATTTAATTTATATTTCATCAAACTTCATTTGAAGTCAGAAGTTAAACTTCATTTGGTGAGTTGAAGGAGTTGGAAAAGTGTTTTTAGATTGTGATGATTCTCTTTAATGTTTCGAACTATACCTAAGTTAATCACATTATTGACTCCGATGTACCTCTGGTTTTTTGGTTGAAAATCTAATACTGATGGGTCAAACACGTTCATAGCAATCTTTAGAGATCCCTGCCCTCCATCAATACTAACACGTACAACAAAATTAAAAATATCTAATTTTCTAAAGGAAAAAACTTCAGCTACGAGCATAGATAGGTCAGTACAATAAACAATACTTTTTTCAAAAGAGTTTTTACCGATCTTGAGCTGAAATTTTGTCACGTCATAAAACCTATTCAAGTAGCGTGACCTGTTCGTATTTTCAGCTTAGATGTTCTCTTGTATTGCAGATTGTCCAACATCTTTTCTTATCTCCTTCTTTTTCCTAACACTGCACACTTTGGAAGATCTTAGTTTATCTTCAATTTCAGGATTGTTTCACTTTTTATATGCTTTATAGGTGATTGGTCTCTGTATACTTTAAAAGGAAGAGCTTCTCCTCCTGTTGCAATTTTTATTTTTTTACTATCACCAAAAACATACTTTTTTTAGCGTGCAAGAAACAACTCTGTCAGCGATATTTTGATTCTTTGAAGTAATTAAGGCGTCAAGATTTTGAACAGTTTTTTTTTAGTTGCAAGGATGACAACTACCAGGACCAACAATTTGACAGCATTCTGAGCAAAATGATTTTTTTTTCGAATGTAATCTTTTGAATTTCTACGTAGGTGAATTCAGAAAGATTAAGTGTACTACTACTTTTCGTACACTAGGTATTAAATATTACAATTGCAGTTGCCATCTTTTTGTTTAATTCTTCCCAAATTTTTAACTTGATCACGATCATTTATCCAGGTAGTCTCCACAGCTTTACTGATTGCTTTACCTTTCTGTTTTAAATATAAGTTTGTCTTGCAGCTTCTGCATATTCTAGACGGATGAGAACTTAGTTCAGACTGAATCACACAAAGTCTCAGATCAGATGAATCGAATGAAGGGTCCACAAAGTCATTAATCAGATGAATAAGTTATTCTTCTCTAATGATAGATATTTTTTGTCTTTATTGACACAACAGAAACATATCTATCTCCTATTTTCTCAATGAGATCTTGCTTTTTACAGACTTATTTAGTACAAAAACGTTTTTATTAAGTATTTTCTGTATTAGGTTATTTAAATTTCATAAACCAATACTCAAACAAATTGTTTAATTTAAACAAATTATAAAATGATTGGCGTAATTTATTGAGACTAATTTTTTAGATATTAGATCATTTGTAATTAGTCTCTAAATAAAATTAACTTTAACTTTAAACGCAAACCACGTGATCCAAATTTTTTTTTTCTTTAAACCACAAATACGAAACTAAATACTCAACAAATAATTTTATTATACCAAAAACGTTATCAAAACAAACTGATTTTTCGATATCTTGCCGAGGACCGCGGTTATGGAACTTGCTTTTATCAAGTAATATAAAAACTTTAAATTTATTTCAACATTTTAAACGTGCAACAAAACAACGCTTATTTGATTTTGATTCAAAGCAGTTACTATCCTCTAATTAAAATATTAATTATATTGTATGGTAACTTGTATAAGATTATCTTATTTTACAATAATTAACGCAATTTGTAAATGCAATATTTATTATATCTTACGCAATTTGTAGATGAAATATAAAACGGATTTATTTGATTTTGTATGTATAAATTTATGAACAGACATATTTGTGTGTACGTGTGCATATTTGTGTATGTGTGTGCGTGCGTGTATATTGAAAATAAAAGTAAAATTAGATAGAGAACTAAAAAAATAATAATAATGAGAAGAAGAAATTAATTTTGTTTTTCTTTTTTTCTGTAAATAGCAAATTAATTTTTAAATCAGTTCTTGCTTTAGTTTCTTTTTTTCCTTTTTTAATTTTTGTCGGCTGAATTTTTTAATTATATTAACGGGGCTGAATGACAAGACTATGTCTTTTGCCAGCTCCGGTCGAAATTTTAATGCTACATTTTTTATGTTGTAAAATCATTGTAAAAGATTTTTTTTATAGAGAAAAGAAAAAAAAAATGAAAACAAGAGTTTCCCTCCGAGTTGAGGGAAAGTGTTTTAGTGAAAGTTTAGGACCCCCTCATTTTGTGAAGGTTTTAGGTATTTAAAAAAATGGTCGAAAAAGAAAATAGATGCAATTTTTAATTCGTCCTAAATGGTTTCTATTTCATGTCAATCTGCTCAAAAGAATGGTTAAAAAAAATCTGAAGTAAAAATAACTTCAACTTAAAACCTCTAAAAATGAGCAGTGAAGAAAAACAACGATGTAAAAAAAAAATATCGTGTTTTACTGGACAAAAAACAACAAAAATTGACTCATTTTTATTAAAACATTATTACAGCATACAAATCATAGTTTTAACCATTATTGGTTAAAACTATGAAGCGTGTCCTTTAATAGTTCTTTTTTTAAATGTTTTTATGAAACTCGTTTCAGTAAAGGGTTATATTTTTACCGTAAAATTTTACCGTTAAACTTTATGGTAAAAAAAACAAATGCAAGAAAAACATCGATTTTTTTTTTCTTTTTTTTCCTTTGTCGTTTGATAAAATTTACAATAAGAAAGATCGTACATATATAATATATGGCCGGAGCAAGAAGAAGACGTATATTGTCTTATCGCCAAGCCCCGTTTACACTTTTGCCTTCAGTTTATGTAACAAGTTAAAAATTACAAAATACAACACAATATATTACAAGTAGTAAATCGTTTAATAAGATATATAAATAAACATTTTTTTTAGTTATATATATATATATATATATATATATATATATATATATATATATATATATATATATATATATATATATATATATATA